CGACAATATGTACTCTTAAGAGTGTGGCTCTATAGAGGGAGTATACTCTGCGAATTCTAAATAGAGGAGAGTTCCTTTACTCTGTATTGATCTACGGCTCTGATAAATCAAATAAAATGTATTGGCTCAGATATCTTGGGCCAGATCTGGCCTTTTAATCATTTGAGTTGTTAGTTCAAGAAAGTGTCTAATATTGATAGATTTAACAGGTACAAAAGTGCACATTTCAATCAGACATTCTCCCAAAGCTTGTAAGGTTTGAGAAGTCACTCCCATACAGAACTCATTCACTTGGCATCTCTTCAGCTCCCAGGATTTTTGCTGAAATATTAATAGGTGAAATAGCTTCTGACAGATCCAAGAGAATTCATCTTTATCCTTTTTAAAATGACATTCTAATCAGAACAAACTCAAGATAGTAAGTGGAACGAGCAATGCATGACGTAACTTTCATCTCTTCAGAATCCAGGTTTTATGATCCTTTTCAGAAAATATAACTTTTTAACATCACAAATAATGATGCGTGCAGGATTGCAAGTAAACCCGGCATAAGAAAGGAACATTTCTTTTAAAAAAACAAAGATTTCAAAAACGACATAGAACAAAATCAATTAAGATGAACAGTAAACTATATTTACGAATAATGTTTCAACAGAAATTATATTTTTTTCTAAATTGTCACCAGACTCAGAAGCCTTAAAAATCCTTGTCTATTCAATACAAAAGCAATACTTTGGTCAGTAATTTGTATTTATCAAATAAGAGAAAAGATTATAGGCAGGTACTTTATTAATAAGTCAAAAGTAACAAAATAAAGGGAAAGAGACCATTTCATTCTATTAAATTCCTAAATTCCTATTACATATTCAAAGAACTTTATTGTCCAATACCATGCTTCTTACTCAGAGCCAAGGAAAAAGCAGAAGTAGCAGGGCCATATGGAGAGCTGAGCACCTTGCAAGACTCCGTTTTTTAGAGGAAGAAACTGAGGCACAGAGAGGTGAAGTGGCATTTCCAAGGTGATACAGTGGACCAGTGGCCGAACTAGGGATAGAAAACAGACCAGAGCTCTGTCCACCATGCTGCCTTTCAAAACAGGGATGGATTACTTAAGCTGCATTTTCATGTTGGCTGCACTGTGTTACAATTTGAACTAGCTAAAGTGGCTGTTGTATTAGGCAGTAAATAGGGAATAGTGGTTTTAAAAAGAAAAATAATTGTGAATGATTATAGTTAATGTGACCTTTCTACACCAGGTGTAAAATTTTGATAGGTAAAAACTGTGAAATTGTTTGACATGGCAGTACTTTAAAAACTAAGGCAGTTTTCTCTCCTGCTGCTTTATTCTTTGACCATTTTAATCAAAACTGGAATCTTTAAGAGCTCAAAGAACTTGGATCATTTGATTTAGTCACACAACGTGGACAATTTTCTGGTGATGATATACAACCTTTTTTGCCTGTAGCAGCTGCCACTTCATTTAGGTAGCATGTGTGTCACGGAACTGTCTAGAAACAAATATTAACATATTCACGGAGGGTTTCCATAATATGATAATATGGTAGTCTTTAGGGTTTGCAGCTCTGATGAAAATCTAATTACATTTTTCTGTTTTGAACAGCCGTAAATTAGATTTGCAGTGCAGATTCACAACCAGCTAGGGGACTGGCATAAAGATGCTTTCAAATACTTTCATTTGGCACATATAAATACATTGTTTTTCCTCAAGTGTTGTAGATATTAAAATATTTTAACAGAATACCTAATATGAACATAGAACAGGTTATAAAACAGTTAGCCCTGAGCAGAAAAATAAATATTTATCACTTGTGAATAAAAAGACAAACATCATATACAAATGTGGAAAGGAAAACAAATAAAAATGTTTTCAGAAGCTGAAAGCAGAATGTAATAATCAATTTACCAGCCACAGCATTTTCTTCCTAGCATCTGAACTGTTTGAACTATAAAACAGGCATCCTTTGTGCAGTATTGTGTGATTTGACTGCCGAAAGAAACATCTGTTCAGCAGTCGCAATTTTGCCTATGTGGTAGGCTTCAAACGATGTCCTGGTTTCTCTCCCCTCCTAAGTTAATTTTTATGTCTGAATCTCCAGGTTTTGGCATTTGTGTAGAGGAATGACAACAAGCCTTGCACTGTCTCTCAATCTGAGTGCATCACCTCGACACCATACTTATCAAGGGATCAGTTTGAAAAGGAACAGGAAATTATATTCATACTTTAATGTCCAAGTGTGAATTACATGGGGAGAAGGAAAAAATGATGCCAAGAATTTTCTCATCGATAGCAAAATCTATATATGTGTTACTTGGGAGACCATATATTTATAGGACAGCACATTTATAATTGAAGTATAGCGTTTGGAACTACTGTATTATAATCCTGTACAAGCATTCTGTACTCAGCATATGAAAGCTGCTGGTAATGGATGCACTGCTTAGCAACATAAAATCAGTTAAGCATATATATGATAATCAAATAACAAACTGATTTATTTTGCAGGCATAGGGGAATTGTAGAATTAAAAATGCTTACTTAAAGAGGCACTTTATCCACCCCAGCTCTCATGAACCAAGCGCATAATTGGTTACAGGATAGGTTACAGGGCTTTTACCACCAACCAAATAACAACTTAGGGTAGACTCTTCCCAGTCTTCCCTATGGACTCAGTTCAGTTGTGAAACTTCTTTGGCACCTGCATAAGGGAGGTGGAGTGACAGAGGCCACAAGGATGAATAGGGGACACCTCAGTCCTCAAAGACTTCAAGCTCTTCCCTCTCACGAGCACAAGGTCCAACTGCACAATCCTGGGTCTCATTTAGCTCTGGAAGCTGGCCCTTTTAGCTTTTACTCACACTGGTCACTAGTTCAGGGCCATTGTATCTGATATCCCTGTGTGTTATCACTGCCCCTACCCCTCCCAAAATTATCCTGGCTACCTCACGGTTCATATTTTTCCATATCCTGTCAATGCAGGCTGGCTCAATGGCCATCCGCCAAACTCGTCTTTCAAGCATCTCCGACCAAACCAATCGAGTGTGAGGCCATAAATGCATAATCAGCTCATATCCCTCTAATCCTTAAATTTAAAGCAGTGCAACTTGCAAGACCATTTTTGTCCAGGCAAGTAATCAGGACATGTGGCTATAGCTCAGCCCTCAAAGAGTGCAGCAGGGGCGTGTGCTGATTCCAACTCATACCCCATCTGCCACACCACCAAAGGCAAATGGCTTCAGCCTTGAAGCTCGGATACGATCCACCTACTGACCTGGCTGCCCGCATGTGGTCCCAATGCATAATAGAATGTCCGTGGATCTGGACCCCAACCTTCTTCCCAATGTCTCCTACAATTGTAAATAACAAGGTCTGTGCAAACCCTGGCATGCCTAGTGATGGCCAAGTCCAGGAATGCCCACAAGCCTGAGTGTAATCTTTCCAGCACTCCATGTTGCCCATATTAACACCCTTACATTATCCAGCTTCTCCCTGGGTAGCTGTGATAAACCTTGCATTTGGACTAACTCAGTTCCCAAATATGTCAACTTCTGTGTTGGCCCTTCTGTCATTTCAGAGCCAGTGGGACACCCAAGTGTGCACCCATCCTCTGAAAAGCACTCAATAGATGGGCACATTTGCCTGTTCCCAACTTTCCTGCAAAGAGAAAGTCATCAAGAGAATGAACCACCTATGTAAGCCTGTTTTCCTCACAGCCCAATATTCTAGCATTGTAGTAAACTTCTCAAAAGCTGAACAAGAGATGGAACAGCCCATTGGCAAATATCAATCCAAACAGTAATAACCTTCAAACTGGAAACAAGTTAAAATCCTTGGGATGGACAGAGAGCAACTGAAATGTAGACTGAATGTCACACTTTGCTAATTGTGCCCCTTGGCCACATCTCTTTATCATGGCTACTGCTGTATCAAATGAGGAATATCAAACTGAACATAGATTAAGATCAATATTGTTATTAATAGAGGGGCAGCAGGGGTAAGGCACAAGGTGTATTACTCTCTGTACTCGCTCGTAGTTTTTTTTCTGAATCAAAGCCAGAGGCAAAAGCCACAGGTCCAGCATTGGTGAACTCCCAAAGGGACCAGGTGCCTTTTTGGCTGCTACTGCCTCCTGAATTTTTCTTTGAACTATATGGATCTTAAATTATTTGCCTGCACTTGTCTCTCTTTCCTTCATATTGGATCTGAAAGCCAAATAAAAATCCACTCCCAATATAATTCACATCTTTTTTGCTAGGATAGCCCAGAAACATGGCCCTTAATACTTCTAATTTACCTGGATCAGCAACATACTTCCCCCTTATTCAATTATTTTCCCCCTTAATAGAGCCCAGGGTACACAGTGGATTCTCATAAGGACAGGCTGGTGTTTTTACCAGTTGTAATAGGTGCTTCAAGATGTTCAAATGGTTAATCTTACAACATTGCTTCATGGCCTTTTAATAGATTCTACAGTGGTTGAGAGAAGACAGGTTGCGAATGACAGCTTTGCTATTTTCAGTACAGCAACTGCTTCTCTGGTTGGCAGCAAGCACTGACAATGATGTTCCAAATGAGGGATATTTGGATAGTACCCTAGTGGCATTAGCAGCAAACAGCATCATGCTCTTCTAACTTACTTTTGTCTCATTAATTAGAAATACCTCTCTTGCCTGTGAAAAGTGGTAACCAAAGCATTGATCATCAGAGCAGAAGTATAAGCATTAAGCTTCTCCTGACTGATTTTTCCTTTTTTTCCTTTCTCTTTTTGTCTGAGATTCACCACCCCACCAATGGAAAGTAGTGAAATTCCCTGTTCAACCAGAAGGCAGAGGTCTCCACTTTTAGATACCTACCCGTTTATTAATTGATATATGTTATACCCAATACCAAAACACATCTTTACAATTATAATCCTGTTAGAAAGAAGAATGCTTGCATTTAGAACATTCACAAATTGATCTTCTGTGCTTGTTTCATTTAGGTTTTTCTACAACAGATGAATTTCTGTATGAAATTCAATATGAATCTAATAAAGTTAAATCTCAGCTAGAGTCTTCAGTGGCTATAAATCTGGTGCAAAAAGATCGGGATGCAGAGTCCGGGATTATAACACTGACCTTCAATATCGTATTTGCACCTAACAAACCAATGAGGTAAGTCTCTGTTCCTGAACCTCTAAAGCATCCATATCTGCTATGAGACTTACTGGAAGTAGTGGGCGCAATATATTCCTTTGTCTTTCCACTCCTGCCCATATGTCCCTCTCTCTGCTCTGCCTCTCTCGGTTTTTCCTCTAACAACAAACATTTGGGGTGTGCTTACTTGCCCTTCTCCATTGTGATGCTCTGATATTAAAACTACCAGTGGCTCATCTTAGACACGGATTGGGAAGGTTCTGTGAAGTTGTTTCTCTGGTTATGCATGTATCACTGTACTAAGTAGAGTGGAGCACTGGCAATGGTACAGCCCTAGCAACATCAACTAACAACTTATAGCAGTATCAAAATCCAAGTCTCATGGCAACCAGAGAAGCCAGGAGAGACCACCTCTCTTGGAAAAGTGTCCCTATGGGTTTTTAACATTTGTTTTAGGTCTGTCAAGCGATTAAAAAAATTAATCACGATTAATCGTGCTGTTAATAATAGAATACCATTTATTAAAATATTTTTGGATGTTTCCATATTTTCAAATATATTGATTTCAATTACCACACAGAATACAAAGTATACTGCACTCACTTTATATTTATTTTTTATTACAATATTTGCACTGTAAAAAAGAAACAAAAGAAATCGTATTTTTCAATTCACCTAATACAAGTACTGTAGTGCAATTTCTTTATCATGAAAGTTGAACTTACAAATGTAGAATTATGTACAAAAACTAACTGCATTCAAAAATAAAACAATGTAAAACTTTACAGTCTACACGTCCACTCAGTCCTACTTCTTGTTCAGCCAATTGCTCAGACAAACAAGTTTGTTTACATTTGTGGGAGATAATGCTGCCCACTTCTTATTTACAATGTCACCTGAAAGTGACATTGTGCACTTTGTATTCTGTGTTGTAATTGAAATCAATATATATGAAAATGAAGAAAAACATCCCAAATATTTAATAAATTTCAATTGGTATTCTATTATTGTTTAACAGTGTGATTAAAACTGCTATTAATCGCAATTGATTTTTTTGAGTTAATCACGTTAGTTAACTGCAATTAATTAACAGTCCTAATTTGTTTTAAATCGGGGTGAATCTGGAGCCCTGTGATAAAGGGAATTCCAAGAAACTATGGGTATTTACCTGTTCCTTGGTGGCCATACCTAGTGTGGGGTGCACTACTCTGGAAAAGCCTTTGGACTGGATAGCTGGTATAAGAATCCTATCCTTGGCTTTATGAATAGAAATGACCTTCAACTGCACTTGAATATTGAACTTTGCCCTTGAATACACAAATGAGGCATCCACTGAATTTGACTATAAGTGATTGAGCTCACTAACAGTATCTTTTCATACATATCTCATTTTAAAATATGATTTGATCAAAACCTATTTGTCAACAGGAGAGATGGTTTGATAAGTTCAGGACACATGCTAGGCTAGCCATAAACAAAATATAGCAGAGATCAAGGAAATTTAACAGAGGAGCAGCCACTTTTCATTTATTATATAAAATGCACTTAACCTTCTCACTGATATCATTTAGATTTGAGAAGTTCCTCTATCTCTAGCATCTGTTTGTACCTAAGACCCATAAAACAGTGTGTAGAAAGGTGGGGGTAAAAGTAGTTCTTCTTGGAGTGATTGCTCCTGTGTATTCCACAGTCGGTGTGCATGCTCGCCACGTGCACCGGTGCCGGAAGTTTTTCCCTTACAAGTACCCATAGGAGGGGATCACTGCAACCCCTGGAGTGGCGCCTCTATATCACGCTATAAGGGGAGCTGCGCTCTCCCCACACCCTCAGTCCCTTCTTGCCACCAGTGAAGGTTGTCGGAACCTTGTGCTCCAGTCTTGCTGTAGCCCTTCTAGTAGCCTTAGTAGTACTCATCTTCTCCATAGTTGGATAACTTCCTTAGTTAGTGGCCTGGTGTGGGGCATGCCCCGTGCCCCAGGCTTCAAGTCATGCGACTCCTGTCGCAGTTCTATGCCAAGAAGCGACCCGCACACTCAGTGTCTTTGCTGCTTGGGTGAGACTCACATAACCGATCGCTGTAAGATCTGTAGGTCGTTCAAGCCTTGAACGAAACGTGAGAGAGATACCCGGCTCCGGGTCTTGCTAATGGAATCTGCTTTGGCCCCGGCACCGGCGCGCCGATCGGACTTGGCACCAGGTGCCTCATCCTCGGTGAGGAGCGAGGCGCCCTCCACCAGTCGGCACCGCTCATCCGCTAAGAAGCAAGGGAAGACTCAGCGGCGCCAACACAAGGACAGGGGTGAGGCCGGACCCGAGTTGGGCAGCCCATGATCCCCCTCGGGACCAAGACCTCTGACTCGTGCCGAGCGGAGTAGTCCGGTCCCGTCTGTGCGTGTGTGCCTCTCCCGCAGTGAGAATGCTGTCTATGCCGGAGGCTGCACAGGCCACGCGTGACATCCTCTCCCTTCTGGTGCCGGGTGCGCTGCCCGAGACAGGCCCCCGGTCCCGAGGGAAGCCGCAGTTGGGAGCACACCAGCCCTCCCTGGCAAGGGACAGCCCGCATTCCGAGGACCGTGCGCCTCGTTGGACGAGGTCCTCCCATAGCTCACGTCAGCCCTGTACTCCGATCAGACTGGCTGACTCGCCCGCGCAGGAGTCTCGAAGGTCCTCCACTCCCCATCGGGAGCGCACGCTCCGAGACAAAGGGCGTTGACGCTCCTCTTCGGATAGGAGCTACAGGAGCAGATCCCGATGCCATCGTTATGGATGTTCATGCTCAAGTGCCCGCTCTGCTAGACACCATAGACCAGGGGTCGGCAACGTTTGGCACGCGACTCGTCAGGGTAAGCACCCTGGCGGGCCTGGCCAGTTTATTTACCTGGTGACGTGGCAGGTTCGGCCGATCACGGCCCCCATTGGCCGCAGTTCGCCGTCCCGGGCAAGGGATGTGCTGGCCGCGGCTTCCAGCCGCCCCCATTGGCCCGCAAGGGTGCTTACCCTTGCGAGCCGTGTGCCAAACGTTGCTGACCCCTGCCACAGATGGAGCTCTCCTCAGGCGTTATCGGCACCGAAGTGTCGAAGCTACAATCGCTGGGACGACTATGAGAGCAGCATTTCAGTCGAGTACCGCTCCTCATCGTTGTCGAGGTCCAGTTCTCGAGGCCGGCACTGGCACAACTGTAGACGCTCCTGTCGCTCCTACGGCACCGTGCGGTCAACGGCAACCTCGGCCTCGGCACCCAGCCGCCCGTCCCCGAGCCACACCGGGCCCCGAGAGCAGCCTGCACCACTCGGCACCCAAGCCAGTCAGTGGCAAGGGGCACCGTGGCAGGGCCAATGGTGTCAATGGGCACCGTGGCCGCACTTGCCTGCCCAGGTGAGACCGCACTCGGTAACCGGGGCATCTCAGACCCATTCGGCATCCCCCCCTCGACAGAGTCAAAAGTCGACGGGCACCGAACCGGCGGCACTGGGTCCGGACTCGGTCTTGGGGGTCGAACCAGCGGCACCCCCCGACGCCCTGGTAGCCGGACCGGCCCCTTTGCCGGCACCTCTGTCCGTTGTACAAGAGGACTTTAAGGCTCACCAGGAGCTCCTCAAAAGAGTAGCCTCGAATCTCCAACTCCAAGCTGAGGAGATGGAGAGCCGTCGGACACCCTTTTCAATGTTCGGTCTTCCTCGGCACCGGGCCGTGTGGCCTTACCCCTTCACCAAGGTCTGGCCAACATATCGACTGCCCTGTGGCAGACCCCAGCTTCCTTGGTGCCCATCTCCAAGAAAGCGGAGAGAAAGTACTTTGTTTCTGCTAAGGGACATGAGTACCTGTACTCCCACCCGGCACCTAACTCCCTGGTGGTGGAGTCAGTCAAGCATTGGAAACGCCACGGCCAGCCTGCACCCACCCCCAAGGACAAAGATGCCAAGAGACTTGATTCTTTTGGCAGGAAAGTTTATTCCTCTGCGAGCTTTCAACTTCGGGTGGCAAATCACCAAGCCCTGTTGAGCCGCTATGATTTTAACTTGTGGGGGTCTCTACCGAAGTTCGAGCCTCTTCTCCCAGAGCGGGACAAGAAAGAGTTCAAGGCTCTGGTGGAGGAAGGGGCAGCAGCGGCGAAAGCAGCCCTCCAAGCCGCATCGGATGCGGTGGACGCGGCAGCCCGTACTATGGCGTCAGCCATATCCATGCGAAGGGCGTCATGGCTTCTCCTGTCTGGTCTCTCTGCAGAGTCTCAGTCTCTGATGCAAGACCTTCCCTTCGACAGGAAAGCACTGTTTGCGGACCAAACCGATGTTCACCTGCATGGGATGAAAGACTCCCGTACCACCCTGCAAACTCTGGGCCTATATGTCCCACCAGCGAAGGACAAACCTAGGCTGCAGACCTCCACTCCCCCCGCTAGGGGTAGATATGAACCCCCTCCTAAGTGACCGAGGGAGCAGAGATGCAGGTCTCAGCGTCAGTCCCGCTCAGCCCTGCTACAAGGCCCTTCGAAGGGCAAGAGGCAGGGGAAGAGGCAGTTTTGACTCTTTGCGGGGGGCCACTGGGCCTGTTGCCACAGATGCCCCCCAGTTAATAAAGTTTGTGTTCTGCAACCGTTTATCTGCATTCCGAGTGCAGTGGTCCCATATAACGTTGGACCAGTGGGTCCTCAGCATGATTTCCAGGGGCTACACGTTGCAGTTCACCTCACCACCCCTCCACTACCCCCCGCCCCAGGAGGACCTCGGGGACCGGGAATGTGCCGCTCTCCTAAACCAAGAGGTGGCGCGCCTTCTCAACCTAGGTGCGGTGGAGAGGGTACTAGTGGAATTTCAGGGCAAGGGATTTTACTCCCAGTACTTCCTGATCCCAAAGGTAAAAGGCGGGCTCCGGCCCATCCTCGACCTGCGGAACCTCAACAGGTTTATGGTCCGCTACAAGTTCCGCATGGTGTCCCTAACCTCCATCATCCCCTCCTTAGAACCGGGGGATTGGTTTGCGTCCCTGGACCTCCAGGATGCATATTTCCACATCCATA